TTCACAGCAATTTTAAAAAAGCCTCTGTCCAGATATGAGAGTTACATTTAAAGTGAAGAGATGGCTATTGCTTTTCAGCTTTCATGTCATGGTAGTAAATACAACTCTGTCACATACACATAAAAGAGAGCTGATCCCACCAGAATCAATGTGGTCAGCACATGTGTTCACTCTTTTGCATTTTCTCTATCTCGGTCCCTCTCTATCTGTGTCAGTCATTCATGCTCAGTTAATGTTTAGAGCAGATGGCCATGCAGCACCAATATAATGATCACCATGGCTACCACGCTCTCTGAAAGAAATTTGCTTTGCCCTGAGCATAGTTCATCAAATTAGTCAGATATTTTGAATGGTGCAGACAAAAAGAAATGGGGAGGGGGTAGTAGTAGATGGAGACAGAAAGAAGTTGAGAGGAATGTATATTGGAAGTATATTTTGGAAGTTGATTTTGTGGAAGGGAGGTTGCTGTATGACAATGTGCGTAATTATACATTAATTACACTGTGGCTATATTTTCTGTGTTTACTGACAGTGTTTGATTCTGAATAAAGGGTCAGCAGGTTCAGTCTGCTATGTTATAATGTTAGTTATACAACCTATGCTGAGTTGATTATCATCCACTCTTCTCAATCGCCACCACAGGCAAGGAAAAAGGCAGTGTAGATGTAAATGATAACCAAACTAAGTACTACGATAGATAGATAGATAGATAGATAGATAGATAGACAACTTTTGAGCTAGATTTTCTTTCTTATTAGGCTTATTTTTTTAATAGCTAACACAACATAATCATTGGTTGTATCAATGCAGGTCATGCAAAGGCCGTTCAGAGTGAACATGCGCACAAAGACTTGATTGCAAACAGCAGAGCCACATCTGCCTTCTATTAGTAACAAAGGACAATGGCAGGTCCGACACAGACCTGACTCTTCAGAGGGGACCTAGCTGTGGGTGAAATTACAAACAGAAGTGTATATCTGCTCAGCTTTTGAAATAATCTACCTCTATTCAAATCCTCTCCCACAAAGAGGATTTGAAATGTCATTGGGGATGAACAAAGCGTGCAGACGCTTGAAAAATGAAGCAACTTTAAAAGCATACAACAACTGCTACTATTTTGTCTTCTATGCTGTTGTTTTAAGAAGACTAAAATCAGAATGTGATACATACAATCAAAATATCACAAAACAAACTCACAGTGCTCTTCCAAACAGACTCTTAGGTATGTCTCATACCTTCCCCCGTACACATGCTGACTCTCTATAAATACCCGTTCATTTCAAAGGGGTTCTTTCCTCTTTGTTTCCATTCTTATGCTTATGTCTTCTTGCTTCTTATTGAAAATGACAAAATGTCATGGATGTTGTTGGCACCATTAAAGCTCAGGCTGTGGAGTTCAGAGCCCAATCTAGAAAAGTTTGTTAGAAATGTTTGCTGAGTCATAGTGCTGATGTGTTGGAGTGAGAGTGCAGTTTTTTTCCTGACACACACACACACACACACACACACACACTCCAATGGCAGCGTAACACTTGAAAAGGAAAGATACACTGGTCCTGATTATGTTAAGTGGCTTGTGGTTTCTTTTGTTACTCTTTATAGCAACTTGGAAAATATGTTTTCAAGTCAAAGTTGGTAAGTTCAAGTCAAAATTGTAAATAAATGCCAACAAAGGTTGACTGTGAAAGCTGACATTCTTGCTGAGCTTGTTTCCTTGTCAGTATGTCAGGGGAAAATAAGGTATGTTTAACGCGAGAAGGACACTTTTACAGCCATGCATGCGTGACATTTAAAGCACACTTGCACATGAGCTGTATGATCAAATTACAGTGGGAGGAACCAAGGGATGACGTTTCACTCAAAAGCACAACTGCAGTCAAACACCTATCAGCGGTATGTTTACTAAAGCTCAGATGAACAACATGCTACATGACGTTATCTATTTTAGTACTGGAGTAGCCAAGCAAGTTATGTTTTAAAACCTAAAATAAAATAAAAGGAAAGAAAGGAAAAAGGGGGTTTGTTCTTTAGCTATATATATATATATATATATATATATATATATATATTAAAACACTCCACACATTATTCAAACAAATATGGGTTTTGATTTACACAGGTGAGCAATATGATACATTTTGCATATTTGGAATGCCTAACACCAAAAGAAAAAAAAACTATTCATTTATTTATTTGATTGTCTGTTTCACACTGAGAACTAATGTAAAAGTAAGTTTTAAAAAGTAAAATAAGCACCTTACCAAGTTTTCGTCATGACATAGAAACAATGACATTATATGTGGACCGCATATATTTTACACTTATTTGACTCTTAACCCTAACCTCAAACAATTTTTTAAGCAAAATAAATATAATAATCATTCACTTGTTTGTCCCTAGTACCATTGTTAGAGTGTGAACCATGAAAGACAGAATATGTCACTTCCCACTGACCTACTGTATATTTAGACAGCAACCCTGAGGCTAAGGAACTGTTAAATCACTTAACAATAAATATAATTGCTGTAGTAGCTGTGTGCTTTGGTGTATTGGTTTAGAATGCAAAAGCACTGATCAGTTGTACACATTTATTTAGTAATGTGGGAGATCACAATAGTTAAGAGTTTTTGAAAGATCATTTTAAATATACACAGAGAGAGAATGAGAATTTGGAAAGAAGGAAACTCAAAAAACAGGACAGACAACAAACTGAATTCAAAGCCACTCCCAGTTGTCAAGAGACAAGATAAAGAAGATATTTAAGATAAAGGAATGTTTAAATAGTTTGTTTTTATGTTATGCAAGACTGTAAGACTCACTAAGACACTAAGGCACAGGATTGTCCACAGAAGTTGGAAGAAAACATATTTAAATAAATCATATTTAAAATAAAAAACACACAGCTAATGGACACAGCTAATGGAAACCCATTGTCTGAAAGATATATATAGACAGCTTTCAGCTGAGATCTCGTGCTTTGTCATTCCTGCTTAGAGAGATTTTTTATTTTTTTGTGCTGTTTTCAGTGTGGGTTTATCCTACTGTGTCAAGCTGTTTGGTTTTCTCAGCTGTTGGGAAACCCTGAAATGGCTCTGGAATGGATCCATATTCAAGTTTCATGTAGCACACATGCAGGCTCCAAACCAATCACAATCTCCCCTTTCCAGAAATGATAATAGATGCGATTTTAAAATGTGATCAAATTTTTATAAGGATTATTGGATTGTATCCGATCATATATCACAGGCTAAGTTACAGAAAAGTTTTATTATTTTTATTATTATTATTAACAATGTTTTATAAACAACATCAGAAATACCAAAGACCTGAATTTTGATTTACTGACTACCCTATATACGGTGGAGATGAAAATTAGAGAACGTAATTTTGAGGTTACTGCTTAGTCAAGTTAGGATTTTTGTTGAAGTGCCTTGGTTATTTTGTAAAACACTGTTCTACTAGCATGGTATATAGCTACAACTAAAATTCCATCCAATTTTGAATGATGAAGATTACATTCTTTCTAAAAAAATCAAGTGTTCATAAATTGTTCTCTAATTTTGAGCTTCACTGTATATCAACTTAGACACAGTTATGGACACATAATACATATATCTTTTATTTATAAGACTGATAATAGAATATTCCAATGTATGATTTTCCATGCTAGTTCTATAAAAGTTTAAATACAAACATTTTATAAAAAACCAAGTCTAACCTATGTGACTATAAGGGTGGGTCACAATGAGGTATAGTCTGCCATCGGCCTTTCTTACAAAAATAATAAAACATATAACAAAATGTATATTATTATTCATTTATTTTGCCCTTCTGCTTAAAAAGACTCCAATTTAAAGGTCCAGTAAATCAGTAGTTAAGCTGTTTTTAACTGTCCTTTTCTCCTACACTCTTAAGAAAAATGGTTCTAAACAGTACCAAAAAAGGGTTCTTCTGCTTGTAACAATAGCAGAACCCTTTTTAGTCCTAAATATAACCTTTAAACACAAACTAAGAACAAAAAATAGATAGACCAAAATGAAATCATTTACCTGTTGAGAGTGTGTTGACAGTCTGTAGTTGGATCACTGAACTCCAGAAAATCAGTAATGAGGAGCTTTAACAGTTACAGATTTGAAAAACAAAAGGGCGGGAATAAAGAACCCTAAACTCTAACACAAAAAAACATTTCAGCATGAAAGGGTTCTTCAGAATGCTATGGTTCTAAATAAAACCATTACTACATGTAAAGAACCGTCTTTTTTTAGTGTACCATTCTGGACTCATACCGACGGAAGACATTCCATGAAGAATCTGTTACATATTAGATATCTTACATGCCTGTTCTTTCTGTATGGCTCTATAGATTTGGTTGCAAGCAATAAATCTACAATTCTCTATTTTCTAAGATATTTTGTCATTTCTAGTGTAATTATTCGTAGAATGTATAGTGAATCTTAGCTTTAATCCAAAGCCACTTACTGATGAATGCAGTATTAAGAACATAACATAACTAAAAAATTGACATAGGTACAGAGCATTGGATAGCAAGATGGTTGGTACCATTCTGTCTTGTTAAAATATTTCATGAAAGATAGGGCAGTGTCTATGTCTGCGATCCAGGACTTTTTTTTAAATATCTCTTAACAAAAAGAAAAAAGAAGCCATTGGTATCTGCACTACACAACCCTTAGTCTGTTAACTTTGACTGTACGGGAAAATGCAAAGAATGCAAAGTATGACTTTTTTTTTTTTTTTAGCTACTCTGGTGATCAAGAAACAGGGGCTAATATTTCACAGCAGAGTCTGACTTGAGGAGGGATACAACATTTGAAATTTTGTTATATCTTTTCTAAGCACCTCTTTAGGCCATTTCTGTTTTGATTATCTTACATTTTTTGACAGTCCAGATCACTAGCCAGCAGCCCCCACTACCCCAGAACATTATGCTAACAAAAATTATGTGTTTTTACTATTGGTAATATTCCATGTCTTCCATGTAGGACGCAGAGAGGGCAGCCTTGTGAATGGACCCTGAGCAGACCAGATGGAAACAGAAAAGACCAGCCATGAGACGGAAAAAAGTCTGATACTTTCACAAATCAGTGCCACTCAGCAGACAGACCCTCTTCTCACCAAGCGCAAGAATGGAGATCCGTCTCAGCAGTTCAATTGGGACACTAATTGGAGCCATTTCAAGCCCAACACAGTAGTTTACCCAACGAAAAGTCAACAGGAGAATTGTTCTGGGCCTGCTAATATGCAAGGGATATTGGATCAAAGCATGCATGAGATGAATGGACAGATGAAACATGCTCTTAGTGAACAGACATTTTTAGATTTTCACCAGCCTAAAAAACTCTGCACTGATTCAGATGTGAATGGAAATTTGGGTCTGAGGCTTTGGGATAATAGAGATGCAGGAATGGAGAACCATTTAGAGGGATTCCCTAAGCATAATAAGCCAGGGGATTTTGAGATAAAACATAGTAAAAGAAACTGTAACTTTCCCAATGGGGATTTATTCTTACTGTCAAGGAACAAGCAAGTTCCAATGCCCAATGGTGCTACAACAAGCCTACCCTCAGTAAAGGGTACAACTGGTGACCTCTTAGAGAAAACTTTGTCTCAGTATTACCCAGAGCATGTGTCCATCGCACCTCAAACCAACTCATCTCAAGTAGATCAGGTCACCAGCAACCTGCCGGAGCAGGAAACTCCTTCACCTTCATTAACCTCAGGTTTTCCTATTTCACCCCAAACATCTGCCTCCGAGCCACTTGCCAAGGCACCCCCAGAAGTACAAGGCAGCAATGGCTACAATCCAGAATTCACAGTGAATGGATACTCTAGTTTTGTAGCCAAGCAAAAGAAGCCTACTTATCCTCTCTCTGACCTGCCAGATATGGGAACACAATTGCTGAGTCAGGAAGCTTCGGAGTCCAATGTGCCATCACAGACAGGCATCAATGGTTGCTCACAGATTCAAGAAGATAGAGAAGGCCTTCCGAACGACTCTGATTGTTTAAGCAAGTCCAACCAGGATTTTAGCCGTGAATCTTATATATTGCCCCCAGTGATGGCAGGAGCACCATCACAAAACACTCAGACAGGACAGCAGAACCTACAGATTAAGGTGCTACAGAAACAACCAACCGATGAAAGCCTCCATGACAATAGAGACTTTTCCTTGCCACAGCAACAGATTCTTGAGCCACATATAGTAGACAACAGGTTGACCTCCCAGGCCTGTACATCAGCTTCTCCCAATCAACACAGTAAGCAGAAAAATAAGCCTAAACCAGATCAGGAAAAGACAACGTCAGGGAATACAGATCACTCATCCCAGTTGAAATGGATAGATTTAAACTCAGCTTCAGCACCACAGCCATCTACTGACCACCCCCAGATGTGGGATTTTTTCCATCCACAGACCCACATGCAGCAGCATACAGTCACACAGAGCCAAAGTCGTTGTATAAATTTCATGTCCTCAAACAACTTTCGGTCTCAAAATTTCAGTAATCCTAGTTCTCCCTCATATGAAAATAAGGCACAAGATAGTTACAAAAACTCCCTACCTCCTACACAGTTCCCCCACAATTCTGTCCCTGAATGTCAACAGAGCAATTCTGGTATGCACGATCATAGTAACATGCAACTACATCCCAAACACACATCCCAGCAATTGTGCAAAAATTATCAAGACCAGATACAATCACAGAGCTTCCTTTCTCAGCCACCACCTGCTGAGCCTCATCAGCAAGACAACAGCACACTTCCCCATCAGCTCCCTCAGGATAGACAGAATATGCAAGCAGCTCCACAATCACAAGATGTTTCCCACAGCCAGGTAGATGCACCACTCTTGAAAAGGCTTAAAACAGGCTGCCTTCATTCAGAATCCCAGAAGTTATCTCTAGGTACAGAAACACCAGCACAAACACTGTCTAGTCCAACTATAAGAGAAAACTCTACATTTCCAGGCTCGTCTAAGTCAAATGTACAATTCTTGACTAAAGAAGCCGAAGCTCTAACAGAAAGAAAACTCCAGCAGAACATGCAGTACTCTCAGAACACCAGTAAACAACATCCAAACTACCAGCAACCTCTCCAACACAGGGTACATAATAATTTGGAATTTCCTAATTCTCTGATTTCTCAATCACAACTGTCACAAGTTTCTAATAGTCTTCAGATACCTGCTCAAACATTTACCAAAGTTGAATTCCAAAAATCCTTTGGCCAAATCCAGAGAGAGTCTCTCCCAAGCCAAGGTGCTCAAGGAGATTTGCAGAGGCACACAGCCTTGCGAATGCACCTTCTGCAGAGGCAGGAGCGGCAAGGCCCCAACAACATCAGGCCAAGTATGCCGGCCATAAAAAGTGAAAACCGCTCAAGTTTAGAAACCTCAGCTCAACATTCACCCATAGAAGTACAACAGCAAGATCAAGACAAAACCAAAGTAATGCCAGTGGTAGTAAAGCAGGAGCATCCTTCTTCATCCTGTGAACAAAGCCAACAGAGGAGCATTCTAGCTACCATGGAGCAGCAGTTAAAACAGTATCAGCTCTCACCTGTGTTTGAAAGAAAATCTTTGGTAAACAAGTCACCCAATAAGGTGAAGGTAGAGATGGCTGGGGCTGTGACTGTGCTCTCAACCAGTGCTGAGGGGAATGTCAAGGAACAGTGTAAACTACAAAACTTCACCCCACCTAAAAAGATTGAACCTGGGTTACAAACCTTTCTGGAGTCACCCATGAAGATGCTTGATACACCAATAAAAAACTTGCTAGGTACACCTTTGAAGACACAGTATGACATTTCGTCATGTCATTGTGTTGGTAAGAGGTTTTACACAGCTACATTTAGTCCAGTTTTTACACATTTTGTGTTCTTTATACATTAGAACTGCACAACTGTTAAGACCTCTAAAGAGAACATCTTCAGTAATAATTAATGTTAATAGTGTAATGTTGTATCTTAGTGATATTTTGTTGTTATTAATGACATTAAATCACATATTAGTTAAACTTAGTTTTATTTATGACCATCTACTAAAAATACACAATACCTTTCTCTTATTCTTTAATCCACAGATCAAATCAGTGAAAGGGATGAAGGCCCATATTATACTCACTTGGGATCAGCACCAACTGTTGCAGGCATCCGCAAAATTATGGAGGAAAGGTATGATATTATGAACTCTAATGATATTATGAACTAATATACCATATATTATATTACTACCTTTCCCTTTGACAGATCCGGACTGACTGGAAGCGCCATTAGGATTGAAAAAGTTGTGTATACGGGAAAGGAAGGGAAGAGTGGGCAGGGCTGTCCCATTGCTAAATGGGTAAAGACAATTTATTTTCATCCTGTGTTTTCTGTGTGTGTACATGTATTGCCTCTCTTTGTCTGTTAAATATTAAAGCATGCTTGTTGGTTCCCTTTCAGTCGGTCACTCTCGACGTCACGTCGGTGACCGACGAGTTGGGATCTCGCTTAGAGAGACCAATCCACTTCGAGTGTAAACTAAACGAGCCAATGCACATTGGCATGCGATGATTGCATCCAGCTGCCGCTGATCACAGCGTGAGCATAAAAAGGCAGCCGGTGCAACGCATACCAGCTTTTCACTTCGGAGCCGAGCGATAACATCGTTCTGCTCCTACCAATATCTTAGTTTGTGACAACGAGTTCAACTCTAGGGAGCTTTTTGTGTTGGCGGATGGCGCTTCAGCGGTGGTCGTTCCTGTGTCGAGTGGGTTGCGCACTTCAGGCTGCACTACCCCCTGTCGTGCTGCAAGTGGCCATTTCCCCTGTGCGTCTCAGCAGTACCACGG